GTGCTCTGGTGTGGTTTGCTCTAACAAACATAACAAACATCTCTTGTGTGTGTGCTCAAAGAAAAAAAACGTCGGCAGTTGGCGCGTGCTCTCGTGTGGTTTGCTCCGTCTTTCCTATCAAACATCGATTGTCCTGATCTCTCGTCCTTCTTTTTTGTGTTTGTTACTCTCTTGTAATGCCTCTAATCTTCGGCACTAAAATAACCTTATTGTGTTGCAAGTGCCATAAAACTCTTGCTAAAACTAAAAACAAAGAAATCAAACATCTGTTGTGTGTGTGTGCTCCAGGGCCCCATCAGTGTGTTCAACGCGTCCAGCGACTGGTCAGCCCCGCGTGTGGTGGTGTTGGAGCGGCAGCCGACAGAGGGCTTTGGCTTCAGCGTCAAGGGAGACTCACCAGTGGTGGTGGCAGACATGGAGGCCGGCTCTGTTGCTGCTGTGAGTTCTTTGACTCGGGGCTTTTTTTTTAACAAAACTGAAAAATTAATCTTTAATAATGTTATCCATCATTTGTGGTTGGTTGGCGGGTGCTTTGTTGTGGTTTGTTCCTGCATTCCTATCAAACATCTATCACCCTTGTCTCTCCTCCTTCTTGTTTTGTGTGCAAGTCTATTCTTTGGCACTTATATGACCTTTTGGGTTTCCAGTGCTGTAAAAATCCTACTCAAGTAAAAAAGAAATGTTATCTTTTGTCAGAGACTTAAGAAGAGAGCTGCATGTTTTGGTTGAAATGAAAGCTGAAAAGAGAAGAGCATGCAATGCGTACAAATCTGAAAATGGCTTCAGTTTGAATTGATGCCTTGGGTTGGGAATTCTGAGATTGCCAACTTATCCATTGTTTCAATACATCTTAGTAGTATACGATTCTCAGATCAGAAAGAGACAAGCCTATACAAGCTACTCACTCTATCTTTCGCTGCTATTTCACAACCTCAGAATAACAAAGTTCTATCTGCACAGTACCTAGTTTTGAGAAATTTGACGTAGTAGATTTTGAGTTTCACGTCATGCCAAGCATTTTCGAATGCAGTCCTTTGAATATCTTGATCACGACCTAAAATAATCTTACGATTTTTTAGAGCAAGCAGATCATTTGGTTTCTTACCTCATGGTCTTAGTAACTCAGAACGGCCAAAAAGGTCAGATAAAACTTTGTAATTATGAGGTAGCGATTTGTTCACATCTGGTACAGGTAAGATCAAGAGAATGATGCATTCATCTTTTAGAATAAAAAAAAAGCTAAGAATCTTCTGGAGCATCTGTATTTTCCCTTGTAGTTCCTGTTTCTTGGTTTCTTGTGACGCTTACTGTTGAAAGGTGGAGCCAAATAGAAGAAGCCACTACTCTTAACTGTTATTATTTCTTTTTTTAATTGACTAAAATGCCTCCCTATACCTCGACAGCGTTCGGGCATGAAAGTCAAGGACTACATCGTGGGCGTGGGTATCGTGGACACCAAGTGGGCCAAGCACGAGGCCGTGGTCCAGCTGGTCAAGCAGGCCAGTCTGAGCCTTAAACTGATGCTGGTCACGCCCATGCCCAAACCCGAACCTTCCGCCACCCGCCCCTTCTCCACCATCAGTCTTCCAACTTCACCATTGAAGGTATGCCATGCTGGTGTAAGATTAGTGACTATTGTATTTCTGTGTGAAGCATTGAGCAGTTATCAGGAGACTCAGCAGTCATATGAAATTATTGTTTGACATTTTTTGAAACAAATATCATTATTAATCAATTAGCTGTTTTATTGGATAATTGTCTCATGTCTTCTTAGTCCCAGCTTTGCCGTCTTTGACTTTTCGTTTTACTGCATTTTGAACGATATCTATTACCTTTTAAAAAAGAGATCTATTGTTGTGTTTCAGTGTTACAGAGTTGTTGTTTTTCTTCATTGTTGACTTCTTAAAAGTTGTGGATGGGGTGTTGATTGGTTGTAAAATGGTCCAAAATTTTTTTACTGATACTGTTCGTGAGTTAATTACCTAGAGTCTCATTTGCAAGTCTTCCCTTTTCCCTATTTCCAGCAGGTCCAGATTACATCTCAGGCCGCTGCCACAGAGAGGGAGAGGAAGAGTCACAGTCGACTCAGTGCCCCCTGGATGTTTGTCCGAAGGAACTCTAGCAAGGACAGAACCAGCGAGCGGCCAAAATCTACAGCTGTGCCCGTCAATGGGAACATCAAGCTGGTCAGCAATGGTAACCTTCGAGGGACATCACATTTCACAAATGGAGGAGATGTGGAGTTGTAGAATAGTTTATCCCCCAACACCCCCCCCCCGAGCAGCGAAAGCAAAAACTGTAATGCTCCTCGTGCGTTTGGCAATTTTACACATTTTTCACATGCACATATACGCAACGCACGCTGGCTGTGCAATGTTCTGTTGATTCGAATCTATTCTATTATAGCAAAAGCTTGCCTTAATTGCTGAAGATTGTTGATGTAGGAAAGGACTGTGCAAATGTTATTGAGAGCAAAGTCATATTTCGTAATGTGTTAATGCCTTGTCACTGATATTAATTTCATCATTCGTTTGGGTTCATGGATTCACTTGGGACTTTCTTGTCTTGACCATAAATTGTTGGGATGTTGAAAAAGGAGACAGTGTTGTGCCCTCAGGTTGTGTTTTCACTTTTATCATTTAGTCATGCTAGATGGGTTTTTTTTGTAATGATCAGTTTTTTAATCATTAAAAGGCTGATTTGCTCACTGGTTTTGCTTATGATCCACATTATATCTTGTAGAGGTTGAAATTATATTTTTGTTAAGATTTTGGTATCAACGTAATTGTGGGAAGGTTTTTTAAATCATATATTTGTGCTGCACATATTGTCTTTACACAAGAGAGATTATGAAAGAGCAAATGACTATTATATAACACACTCTTCTCATTTGTTGGCTGTATATCCAGTAGTTGGTGTATCTTTTCAGCAAACTTAATGTGTTGCTAGTTACGTTTAATTGAATACACATAGAGTACCAGTCATCCTGTTGCTTCTTTTTTTCTTAAGCTTTAGGGGTTGTGGTACTCTTTGTGATTTAGAGCACACAAAAATCCGTCATGAGAAGCTGATTTGGCAGTATGATTTGAGAATTCTAATCCACTAATAAGAAACACTTTTTTTTTCTTTTTCTAGTATTATATTTGTTTTTTTGTATTTCTATGTTTTTTTTGGGGGTTTTTCCCATGACTCTGAACAGGGTTTACCATACAAGGTTACAGTAAAATAAGGGTAGCTCAGAACACATGTGTCAAAGTTTTGATGCTGACGGACAAGTCATGACAAACAAAAGACGGTTACTACTTACTACTTATGTGGAAGTGACTTTCTATTGGATATGTAGTAGACAAGGGATGGGCCTACAAAAGTTGTTTTGAATTGGAGGGAAAAAATGACATCTCAGAAACTGTCAAGTTGAAAGAGTGACTGGTAACAACCTCTCAAAAGAACCTGTCATCAGAGTTGAGGCAATAGCATGTGTCTGGCTACTGATATTATTGATTCCCTGAAATATGGAGAAAAAAACTTGTGAATAGTCAGTTGTTGTCATATATGTATGGTTGTTTCTTTTATTTCACCATGGTTGTGGTTGCTTTGTGAAAACAGTGGCCCATCAGAAGTTAAATGTAGTGGAAAAATGATAAATGAATAGTTCTTCCCTATATGATGTTTTGCACTATGGAGGTCGATACCGCAACTTGTTTTTCTGTAAATGCTCGATTCAAAGTACCTTGAGGAATACTCTTTTTTCCTTTGAATGACACCCAAAGGCTTATTACTGACCTGTTGCATATGAAAAATAAGATAAGATAAGATAGTACTTTATTATCTCAGAGGGAAATTTTCTTTGGCTGTACAGGACCGTATAAACACATGTAGGTATACATAAAAAATTTAAATTATATATTACTCTCATTAAAATTCAATATGAAAAGAGAAGTAAAGCTGCCATGTACCTCCGAAAACTAAGAAAGAAAGATATAAAAGAAGTTTTTTACCATCTAGCATAAGGCTTTTGTTGAAAGGATAAGCATTGCACGTTTAGCAATCTTCTTAGAGTCACATTTGATAAAAGCTTGCATTGCACAAAGTAGCGAACTGTATAGAGCAAGTCATCTTGCTGTGTTATTTGCACAGAAAGTTTCTCATATTTCATAGCAAAAGAAAGGCGTTTTCTAGTCCAATACCTCTGTATGCTTAATAAGAAAAAATAGGCAATGAAAAGTTTTTTGAATTCTTTATAACAGGGCTCCAAGGAAGTGAATTCTTTATAACAGGGCTCTTGTAGATTCAAGACACAGCCTTAAAATTATTTCAGAAAAGTTAGTTCATGCTTCTCAAATGTAATACATTATATTTTACTGCAGGTCACAATTTCCCAAGTCATATCTGAAATTTTGTATTTGCTATAAATTGAATATGATTGAAAAGTCAATATCATTTTTAAAATTGATTTTATACTTACAGATATTGCTGTTCATTTGGTTGTTTTTTTTTGTAAAGAGTTGACAGAATTGATTGTATTTTGTTATTATTTGGCACCACATGAATTTACTATACTTACCTTTCACATACATCTTTAACTGAAACCTACAGTTCAAGTTTTAGCGTTCAAAACTTTCTGTAAGTCAAGGAAGATTTCTTTTGTATTAACGCAGAACCAGGCAGAAAAAAATGTAATTGTATATAATATATATGGCGTCGGTGGCCTAGTGGTTAGGCTCTCGGACTCGCAACCGTAAGGTCGTGGGTTCGAATCCCGTCAGGGACCCGACGTTGTGTCCTTGGGAAAGGCACTTTACACGAATTTTCCTCACTTTACCCAGGTGGGAATGGGTACCCGGCTATAGACAGCGAAAGATCTTGTCAGTTTGTTAGTGTTTGAGCGCTTAATCAGCTGCTTGCACTGTATGCTTCCCGGGAAGCTGAGAATGTTTCGGAGTGTTCTATGGTCTGCTGGGGTAATAATATAGTGTAAAGTGCATAGAGTCTGCTGTTGAGCGGAGATATGCACTATACAAATGCTATTTATTATTACTATTTATTATAATATAAAAGTTGGATTATTTAAGTTGTTTTTAAACAATTGAAAATGGAAGACTTATAAGTTGTTGGTCAATCTGTGTCTAACTGGTTTTCAAACTGTCTGCTCTATTTGTTGTTTCTCAAGCCATGATATTTCTGTCTGCAGACATTGCTTTGTGCTTCCAAGAACCCATTTTCTCGCCCTGAAATCAGGCGTAATGAAATTTTGACATTCCAGTAAAATTCTAGCACATTTTCAGTCATTTGCCCCACAGTCCGGATTGTTATGATTGTTGGATAAATTGTTTGTGTGCAGGTTTTCGCTGTTTTCCTACTATGATGGAGTATTGAGTTTTACTTTTGTTGATTGGGACATTGTGTAATCATACCAGTATCTATGCTACGTGATTAGTTTTTAACCTTACACGCAGAATGTGTGAATTTGTTTTCAGTGTGGGGACGTTTTTTTTGGTGTAAATTTGAGTCTTTGTGTTGGGATGTTGTATTCTTCTTGGCCAAGGGTGGTCCCGATGGGCTAGGTTGAAGCAGTCCTCCCCGTAAATGATTTGAATTGCATCGAAGGGGTGTGAAGTATGTTCAATTACTATTGCTCAGAGTCCTTCAGACATGTGGATTGAGGTACATTTTAGTCTAGTAGAGTTTGCGCATGGGCGCGCACACACACACACGCACACACACACACACACGCGCACACACACACACACACACATACGCGCGCGCGCGCGCGTGCACGCACACACACATATTATTTAAACACACACACACACACACACACACACACACACACACACACTCACGCACACACACACACTCTCTCTCTCGTACATTCACTCTCATACCTGAAAATATGCACTAATTCACACTCACGTTCTGTCACATTTATAAATTTATCTTTCATATATGCAGCAGTAGTAACCAACTTATATCCTCCTCTATATGTGTGGGCGAATTTTTATAGCATGCTTAGAAAACTCTATTTTGCGAAATACTCATGTAAACTCATTGTTGATCCGAAGGGCCATACATGTATATTTGTACTCTGAAAATTAAGCCATATCTCTGTGGATGCAGATTCAATTGATTATATCACTGCCGAATTTGCATGATACCCAGCAGACATACAAGTCATCCCCATTACTTCAGTATCCATCGAATCATTTGCTCATTCAGACAAAAAACTTGCACACTTATTTGTAGTCATTTATCCCCACTAATGGAAACTTGATATTTTTTCACAATAACTCCCGTCTACCCAATATACCATTTCAGACACGCTTCTGTGGTGTGAGGGATAGGCTCTTCGCTATTGCATACAGAAGACATGAGTTTGATTCTTGAATGGAGAAGTGTTTTTACCGAGTATCTCAGTCTGTCTGTTTGGATGCTCTATCCTACTTAGCCTGGATTTGCCCTGACAGGCAGGGTCAAAGCAGTATGTGTCTTAAATTATGTAAATTGTGTCTATGTGGGAGTAAAGTGTTAACCATTACAATTACCATGTCTGATTGGTGCATTGAGGGAAATATAGATGGGTGTCTAACCTAACTGTATAATGTCATATCTGGTACAGCTCTTTGATTTCTTCATGCTTTGATTACAAATGTAAGATCTAACAGACTAATGTGCCACTTATTTAAATACAAATTTCATGGCAGTGCATGTTAGTATTCCTTGCCTCTTTATGTGACTACTGCACTGTTAACCTCCTTCATTGTAACATCTGCGGGTGGTTGGAGGGTGGCACTGGTAGATCCTACTTCTTTTCTTTCCGTTTGTTGCTGCTATCTGTCTGTTTTACATTTTGCTTTTTATCTGCACTAAATGACCGCTCATGTGTCGCTGTATTTTTGTTAACTCCAACCAGCATGAAACACCCATTACTTACATCTGCTGTCATCTACTCTAACTTTATGCTAGAGCGTGTCTCAGGATGTGGATATGATTGGGTCCAGGTGATGTAGTCAATGACATACCTCTGTTTCATTGCTCGTCGTGAAAGGTCCAAAACTTTGGCCATCTTGTCTGTTTAGCTCACTGGTGGAAGAACATGCAGATGGAAAAGCTGTGTACTCTGATACTCTGCTGATCTTGGAAAGTATCTTGATTCTCCTTCTTCTTTGTGAAGATGTTCCGAGTTTGTTTTAATTTCAGGAGCAATAGTTTTATTTAGAATCTAGTCTTATTTTTTATTTCAAGAGGAAATTGATCATTGATATGAACGCATGAGCAGCAGTGATTGTTTAGGACAAGCAAAGGTTACCTGTAACTCTTGAGATGATAAAGTGGAAATGTCTTGTCTGTTGAAAGCCTCTCAGTGTACTACTGTCATTCATTCTTTTTTCCTTCTCGTGATGAAACAGCGCTTTCTACTGACTGAAGTTGTCTTTAGGCCATTTCCAGGGAGGGGGGGGGGGGGGTAGGGGGGAGGTATTAACATGTTTTTATGCACAGTAGAATTGCAAATAGGCTGATTTATCAATGTCATGCTGGACTGGAACAACATAAGGGGAACTGCTGCTTTTTCTTTCCTCTTCCTTGCTATCGTCATTTTTTGTCTACTCCTTTTGTACGTTTGTCACTCTCTTGTGAACTGCTATTTCCTGGTTGCCTTGATAGTTGAAGCAGACTTTGTGCTGTGGAGGCTAGAGAGGTGAGCAGAATAAGCCTGACTTCTCTGTTGACATCCACCACTTGGCACTCATACGACCTTATGCAGTTGTGAGCGCCATAAAACCTTATTAAAACTAAACAGCTGTTTTGCATGTATTTCTGGTCCGTCCAAGAAAAAATTGTCTTTTCTATAGTAAATTGTCGCTTTTCTCATGGTATACTTGACCTTCCTTTTACACTCGAGTTTCAACTGTATAGTAGATTTTGTGGAAAAGGAATGGCTTGACTTATAGTCTAGAGTAATGTGACAGTGTATTGAAATACATTCTTATATTCTGAATATTTTATGTCAGTGTAAAATATCACAGTCTGAATCAATAACTACCAACATACCGTACTGTTCTCTATGTGTTACAATAGTTCTGTTAAAATATGGATAAGTCTTCTGATTATGTTCCGCAGAGTCTTCTGATTATGTTCCGCAGAGTCTTCTGATTATGTTCCGCAGAGTCTTCTGATTATGTTCCGCAGAGTCTTCTGATTATGTTCCGCAGAGCATAGCACAGTGGTTAGGACTATGAAGGTTGTTATGGTTTTTTGTTTACATTGCACACACACAGGCCTTGTTCTTTTTTTTTTCTCCAAATAATCTTCTGTGGACGTATTATTGTTCTTCTGACGGAGGTTCTGTGTGCCATGATTCGTCAGTCTCCAAGCCCTCTTTTTTAAAGTTTACGTAAACCTCCTGAACTCATCAAAGCAGAATTTGTTGGGAGATTATAGTTCAACCCCTGTTCCTTGTATATTGAGAAAAAGGAACCCTTCTCATTATATGTGTGTCTATTTCATAATAATATGCCC